GCCCGTCAAGCTGTTCGCCAGGTCGGCCATCGCCAACAGCTCGGCCAAGATCAAGTGTGAGTGTGGGCCAGGGCTGGGGACAGCGCGGGGAGCTCCAAAAACACCTCGGCTGGCAACAGCGGACCTGCTGTGGGGGTGCACATGGGGAAGGCGATGAGACGGGGATTCAGTGTGCTGGTCAAAGAATCCGAATTTATTGTGGGGCATAACTGCTTATATACTTCATCTACTCCAGCCACTAAAGGGCTCAGGCTTCACGAGGAACAAAAACACCTCAGAACGGCTGAGAACAGCAACACCGCTGTGGGGCTGCACCTGGGGAAGGCACGGTGCCAGAGATGGACAGAGAGAGAGGGGATTCAGGCTGGTCAAAGAATCCGAATTTATTGTGGGGTAAAGCTGCTTGCATATTCTATTCCGGCCACTAAAAGGCTCAGGCTTCATGGGAAGATCCCAAAACCACCTCAGAATGGCTGGGAACAGCAGCCCTGCTGTGGAGGTGCTCCTGGGGAAGGTGCAGTGTTGGCAGTGAGATGGGGATTCAGTGTGCTGGTCAAAGAATCCGAATTTATTGTGGGGTAAAGCTGCTTGTATATTCTATTCCAGCCACTAAAAGGTTCAGGTTTCATGGGAAGCTCCCAAAAACACCTCAGAGTGGCTGGGAACAGCAGCCCCGCTGCAAGGTGCACCTGGGGAAGGCGATGAGACAGGGATTCAGTGTTCTGGTTGTGAAAAACGCCAGTCGTCTGTTTTTATAATTTTAAAAGTTTAATAGTAGTAAAATGATTATAAAAATAGCAATGTAATTAGAGTTATAAAAACTTTGGACAATTAGGATTAGGACAGTATGAGACAATAGAAACAAAGAGTTACAGACAGTCCGGGTACCTTTTTCTGGGCAAAATAGGCCTGAAAAAGGACCCACGTTAACAGAGGATTAACCCTTAAAAGTAATAACCTGTTGCATATTCATACACCTCACACATGATGCATAAATTGCATTCAAACACAGGATTCTGTCTGGTCAGTGTCAACTTCTTCCTCTTAATCCTGATGGTGTCTTCAGGGCTGAGAAAGGCAGGAAGAAGTTCATTTCTTCTGATAAGAGAGCAATAAATTCTTTTTCTCTGAAAGATTTAGGTGTCCTGTGGCTGCTCTCTCAGTGAGAGTCCTTTCTTTAGGGAAAAAGGTATCCTACATAGCATCGTTTCTATTTTAACCTTATGTTATAACTTATAACGTAAAATTATATTTAACACATGACTTAAGAAAATTATTACAGCATTACTTTCTAACATAACACATATAATATTAATTTTAGTATTTGCAAAAAGCCAGTCATAAAATATGCATTTTTCACACTGGTCAAAGAATCCGAATTTATTGTGGGGTACAAGTGCTTATATATTCGACTCCAGCCATTAGAAGGCTCAGGCTTTATAAACTAAAAATATCCCTGATGGCAGCTGCATTACTGGATTTAGAAAGGCTGCTAGAAGTGTAATTGTACTGAAAGGTTTAATTCTTATTCACAGGGTGATAGAGAGAAATGTTTTTTAAAGTTTTAGACTGATTTCTTCCCATGTATTTAAAATTGACGTAAAAATCCAATTTCACAGAACGCAGGAGCTCTTCTCCTTGGGGTTCCAGGGGTGTTTCGGGAAGGTAAAGGATCCAATTTGATATGATTTGATTTGCTTTCAAAAATTTTAGTGTAAACATTAGTGTAAAGTTCTGGAGGAGCTATGGTGCAGGTACAGCTTGGGGTCAGGCTCTGCAGCCTGCTTGGACACAGCACCCCAGGCTCTTTTGGGAGCAGCTTCCCTGCCAGTTCCCAGCCTGGGCTTCTCCCTGTTTGTCCTGCCTGCTGAGGGAGCTGCCCTGGGCAGGGTGTGGGGTGGGCTTGCTCTGCAGGGTGCTGAGTGCCTTCCTGTCCTTCCTTCCTCCCCCCAGTGAAGAGCAGCGAGCTGCAGACAATCAAAACGGAGCTGACACAGATCAAATCCAACATCGACGCTCTCCTGGGCCGGCTGGAGCAGATTGCTGAGGAGCAGAAGCTCTCTGCAGGTCAGTGGGGGCGGGGATGCCTCGGGGCTGGCCTTGGGCATCACGCATTCCTCCAGGCTCTGACAGGGAAGTGTCAACCCCCAGGTTCCAGGGTAGAATCACAGGCCAAAATTACACACCAAAATTCCTGAAATTGCAGAGTTGGGGTTTAAAATGATAAGATTTTTTTTTCTTGTGTCCTTTTTTTTTAGCTTGTATTTTTTTAGTTTGCTTTTTTTGTTCTACTATTCTGTTTTACTCTTCATATGCTATAATTTTCCTTTCCTTTCCTTTCCTTTCCTTTCCTTTCCTTTCCTTTCCTTTCCTTTCCTTTCCTTTCCTTTCCTTTCCTTTCCTTTCCTTTCCTTTCCTT